TGTTAGTAGTGGCTGACGTCGCACGCGACGGACGTTGTTTTCAGCCGACAACTTTGGGTGCCAACCAGTCCGGATAACCCCCTCTATTCGTTTGTGGTGGTTCATGATTGTTTGAGAAGTCTACCTCGCCGCTACCGGAGTTCCCAGAAAACATCTGGCGAGTGTGTCACACAATGTTTAAGGACCTTGGGTTGGTTGCATGGGATTAAACTCGCGTCAACGAGCTAAATAGGACAATGTATACCCAAGGCACCGGGGAGGGGGAACCCCTACATCACTCATGGGGTGACCATATATACAACAAACGCAATGCCGTGCTTTGATTTTCAACGGTCAAGAAAAGCTCGCACTACGGCAAATACAAGTCGTAATCTGTTGTCAAGTAGCTTTTCTGATGCACGACTGCCCGCGTCAACTGTGAAATTAGAAGCGACGTTATCGACCTCAGCGATCCGAGCCAAGAATGCTAAAAATATATGTTTGTGTGCACGGCGATCATTGTGGTTGGTCTTCATACTGCATTCCATCAGGTCGCGTAATTTCAGTAGAAACTTTTTGTTAGTACGCGCCTATGCTGAATCGCATGTAAATTCTGGCGTGATTACAACGTCGGCCACAGATGTAAATCACACCGCAGCGGCCGTCCAAATTTCCGTCTGTTCAGATACTACTGGAGGCAGGATGAAAATGCTAAGGGATAGTTTTATAGGTCCTTAGTTCACATGAAGCTCATGCTAAATCTAAGCCTACAGTCTTTTCGAAGCGCCATCGCCACTATTTCGAACACTTACTTACTACCACCCGCTCAACTTTGCTCATTTCTACCTCCCCGTGTCTGCTAGTAGCTTGCTTGACTCCTTCTCCAACATTTCGTCGTAAGGTTTGCGCAGCATCTTAGCAAGCTCTTCGTGCTCGTCATTTTTCGATTCTTCCAAGTACGTAATCCATTGTTCCGGTCTGTTTGTGTCGTGTTGTAGAGCGAAAAGCTTACGTGCTTCCTTGAAGCCCAATGCACACTTCGGGTGCACCGCTCTGTACATCTCGACGTACTTGAACCACTCATATGCAGTAGCTGCATATAATGCATTCTGAACACAGGTGTGTAGCGAGAGCATCTCATATACCTTTTGGGGGTCCAATCCCAGCGCCATCCACACTCCAGCTGAACTTACTCCAAAATGATGGCAGTATGTAACTAGGGCATTGTGCAGCTTTACGAATTCAATCTTGTTGTTCTTCAGGTCATGAAGCGATGATAGTGCCTGCACCACGTCCTCTACACCTTTAACCACCACCAATGGTATGATGAGGGTCCATTCGTGGACGAACGGGTCTGGTCCCTTACCATTAAGCATCAGGAATTCTTCGAGTTCCTTCACGTTGATGGGTCCTTCCAGTCCGGCAAAGCTCCAAAATTTCTTGCCACCAACAAATTTTTGTACCTTTTTTCTTCTGTCTGGGTTCACGTCCTTGGCGTGAGCACATTGCTTTCGCAATTTCATCTTGTCGAAAAACCCAATCTTCTTCTTCGCGCTGGACCTGAAATCCTTAAGCTCATTATGAAGTTCACGTAGCGAACGAGCAAGAGCGTCATATCCAGGCTGGTCGGCAATCTCCTTGAGATGAGCGTCTAGTACTTCTCCATCTCTAGAAGCAAACAAGAGTTCTGCCGTGTCAATAGGGCTGGAGGCCCTCGGGTGCAGTTCTCGGAACATACCGATGAACATCATCAATTCACCCAAAAACGTAAGCGATATGCGGTCCAACTTGGTCCAATCAAAGCCGAAGGATCTGAAAATCGCTTCAGGTCGCAATCCTGACTCCATCCACATGAAAGGAAACACTATCGGAAGATGTATAAAGCGTGATAGTAACTTTCTTGTCAGCACGCTGGCTTTTTTTCCATATCTTCAAGCGTGTGAAGTGACACCAGTGCCCGCATCACATCGGCCGGGCTTCTCACCAGTAACATGGCATGAATCGCTTCTCCTGTTGCAGTGACTACTTCTCTTTTCGTGTCGGTTGCTGCGCCAGGTGTGTCACCCACTTCGCCTGTCGTGTCGACCACTTTGCCTGTCGTGTAGACCACTTTGCCTGTCTTCTGTCGACCACTTTGTCTGTCGCGTCGACTACTTCGCTTGCCATCATCTGAGCGTATCTTGTTCTCGGTGGTGGATGAAAACCATACCGCTGTAGCACATGTTTGAGTGCCTTTGCGTCAGTAAATTCCTCGCTTCTGGCAACGTCCCAGAAGAGCTCGGTACGCTCTAGGGCCTCTTTGCTCATAGGGACTTCATGATAAGGTTCAGTCGCAATCCTCATCATACTCGCTATGTCAATGGCGCTTTCACCAGTGGTCGCAATGTTCGTCGGACTCGCGGTGTTGATGGCGCCTTCGTAAATAGCAGGAACGTCCATCGGACTCTCGCTATGGAGGGCGCCTTCGTAAGTGACCGCAATGTCCAACGGATAATTGCTACGGACGGCATCTTGGACAGCAGTCGAAATGCCCGTTGGACTCTCGCTATGGACGGCGCCTTTGGCAGCGGTCGCAATGCCCATCGGACCATTGACATGGGCGGCGCCTTCAGCGACAGTCGCATCATCATGCCCCGTTTTGCTAATGAGCGATCCCAACTTCTCTGCAAAGTCTTTCCAACCTCGCGCCTCGCTCAAATGATCCTCAACGGAAGCCGCTTTTTCCATGGTATCATTCGTCTTCGAAAGACTGTCAGCGACGGATGCGACCGTGTTTGTCGCGAACGAGCTGAATGGACGCGCAATCATGTGATCGTGCGTGGTCTCGTTGAGGCGTCTTAGAGTAGCAAAACGAGTTGAGGAACTGGTTGGCTCACCATCGATTCGCAAGCCTATGAGAAGGGTGCCGAAAGCCGCGAGCGCACGACAAAGTTTGCGCATTGTAACGTGCAGGACGGTGCCGGCAGATTGCACAGTGAGGGGAGCGTGCCTGAATTTTTTTCTTGTCGCTGTGCATCCGCATTTCTCACTTCTGATTCGAGACAAAAATTCTACCTGATTTATGCTTCTGCTTCTGCAGATCTGGTCACGTAAAAGTAGGCTTCAGAGCTTTCGCGCACGAACTCATACAGCGTGTGTGTTGTAATATAGCCGGACGCTTGAAGTTCACACAATTAATGCTGGTCTACTTTTTCCCTCCATGACGGGAAGACCTGGTCCGTGAGACATTGTACATCTGCAATGATAAAACGGCCAAAATTACATGACAGCTGGTTTCTTTTGGTTTTTCACAAAATTTTGCCTGGAGACACGACCATTTTGCCAGCCAGGCCTATAAAGCGCTTATTAATGACAGCACTCTGGGCCTTGGTTGAGCAGGGATCGAAGACGGGGTTAGTACACGAGCTGTTGGTTACCGAGTCCACGTAGACGAAGCGCCTAGTTGTGAATTTCGTGTGTACGCACTCACTTCATGACATTTCACCGGTCGAGCTTGAGCCGAATCGTCATAAATCGAAAGCATCGCAATGTCCTAACTTCTCCAAGACTTAGGTGTCGATGCACTGGAAGGCGATGGAATGTAGACAAAGGCTACAGCATATCGTGAATATGGTGGAAGTCGATTGCAATTTGCCATATTGATGCTAGCAACAAGAAGTTAGCAGCAAAATGTCGACAAGCAGTTTGCGATCAGTCAGGCATTTACTCCGCTCGGGAAGCTTTAACACCACGAGCAGCACAGTGGTGACAATGACGATACCTTGCCGTCATATAAACGCACATGGAACAGCAAAGAGTCTGGTCTATGCGTCCGCTACCTCTCGCTCACTTTCCTCGCCTCTCTGTTCTCTCCTACACGAGCGTGCCATCTCTCTTCACCGCTAGCAGATAGTGTCGTCGATCAATCACGCCGTGTCATCCTTATTAAGGCTCAACGCGACGATGTTGCTCGATTTATTAAACTTGATGCCTTTCTCTACTGCCATGACAAAGTCAATGTACTCGAACAAGCTGCAGCTCGCGCGCATACCACTCAGAACCGTGTCGTGCACAGGCCATTGTTCTCGGCAAAGTGGATGTGGTTCCTCTGCATCTTGGACAGTCTCGAGGTTAAGATACTGTCTCAGAACTTGTAGTACGTCAAGAACTCATCATATCTCCCGTGGGCGCACGGTTAACGTCTCGTGGGTCCCACCAACGATCTCAGGAGCTCCTCGTCTTGCACCGGGCGCAGTGTGTGCCCCTGGTTCGCACGTATAATAAGATACCCGACTTCCACTTCGTTTGTCGCCAACGAAAAATGCGTCTTTGCGTCTGTCTGCACTACTTACTGGACGTGTTGCTCGTTGAACGACTGGAACGCTGGCAGCGCGAGCACTTGAGCTAGGGGCACCAAACCCGACGGTCACATCTCAGCTCGAGCTCTTCAGCTCCACTATGCAAGCGGTAGACTGTCTCCACGGTTGCACATCGCAACGGCTAGGAGCTGCTGTCACGCGGACGCAGCTACTTTACGGTATGATGGCCAAGAAAAGCATGGAGGCTCAGCACTTTGCCCCTGCTACTGTCGTGGGAGAAATTTTATCCTTTACCAATAGTACTTGCCAATTTACGTACACTCAATGTAGCGGGGCACTGTTGACTACGTACTGGTTGACCAGTACGGAGTATACTTCCACTGACAACAGTGGTCGACAGTGCCCGGCTAAATGTTGAGGGAACACAGAGGAAGAAAAGGAGACTAAGTGTAACGGGGCACACCCTTGCGTGAACTTAACGCAAGGGTATCGGTGCCCCGACAGACGTACACAAGGCAAGCGAGGAAGCGAGGTAAGGTAAAAGCAGAACTGTTATATTAATATAATTAAGTCTTTTAACCACTGTCTCTCTATTTGACTTAACTTAACTATACTAATCTAACTGAGTGTATGGTGACGTCTCGTCACCACTCATTGCGCGCGTCCTGCGGCGATTGGTGGGTTGATATCATCAAGATATCAACCAATGAACAGACCCTTTGGTCGACCCTTCAATATCACCACCTTGGTGATATTGTTCAAAGAATATTCGACGGAATATTCTTTATTGTCATTGTTTCTTTAAAGTGACAATTTCATGTAACGGGCTGCCCCGTTACATCACCCCCCTTAACTTATAGTCACTGTGTGACTACCGAAAACATGGTGGCCACTCATTGGTCACCATTGGGACAGGGAGCACTTGTTGGGTTAGTTTCGTTCATAACTCGACCTGACCTCGCATAGTTAATATGTCTATGCGGGTTGACGCAAGGCACACAAAGTCTGTGCCTGAGGCCAAATCGGCGGCAGACGATTCGTCTTCCGCTGCTCGTTCTTCGCCTGCAGCAAGAGGTGCTGCAGGTGTACGCGGTACAACACCGCGTGCGCATGCTGACCCCGACATTGAGGTCATATACTCTGGCGAGTCAGACGTGTCTGACTCGGGCAATGTCCTAGAGGCGTCTCGATCACCGGCGACGCCTCAGTATTCGACAAGACCACTGCCGAACGAACGGACTCGTGATTTGCATCACAGTCTGTTCGGCAGTGATGACGATGATCAGGGCGGTGAGGAATATTATTCCTTTCCACCACCGGCTCGTGCGTCTTCGCACGAGCGTGATGACGATGGCGCGAGCCGTCGTCAATCTGGGAGCCGTGGTACCGACAGAGGTACCACTGTAAAGCGTGGTGAGCTCAAGCCGTGGCGTTTGCCCGAACGGCTTATCAATAGCTTGTCTCACGAGACAAGCCAACACCATCGAATTTAATTGTTCGGTGCGACTGAGCTTCACGGCTTGAGTTCCAGCGCGAATAACTTTCGCGCTGAAGAAGATTTTTATCTCGATACTTTCCTACAATCATCGATGGTACAACGGCAACCAAAAGCGTGACAAGGCCTCGCTTTTGGCAGCGTGGAACGCCTTCGTCCAAAATGTCAAGAATTTTGGACGAGAAGGGTGGCTTAAGAACAAGCTTGAGGCGATACGCATCAAGTTCGAAAAGCGAACGCCAACCGGTGCAAGGTACCGGTTGCATTGTTTGTCAAGTGAGGCCGGCATTCCATGCCTCACCTGGGGAGATCCTTGTGCGAGTTGTGTCGACAACTCGCAACGTGCACATGGGGACGTGTATCCCCTAAGTTCGCCCTGGGGAAGGGCACACATCTCGGCTGAGATGCGGGACGCGATTGCAAACTTGCAATCCGTCTACAAGCGCCAAAAGCGCGTGTTTACCGATGGACCCTCGTATCTATCGGATGAGTCTCGTCATATTGGTGGACGAGACCTTTAACGTCAGCCATCAGCTGGGAACGAGGTTCCCAGCTGTCAAAGGAAGGTGTTTACCCACGCAACCGGACGAGGTAACTCGTCCTTGATTCTGAATCGCCACGTTGGTTCAAGATACGCTCCACAATAAAGCGTTGACCACCGTGGGAATCCAACAGTGGTTCCGGTGGCGGTGGAAAGACAAGGTCTGGCTCAGCCGCCGGGCCTGCACGAGATTTGGGTAACCACGAGCGTTACCTGACCGAGCTGAGGGAGGACGTCGAGCACAAATACAACCGACGGCACGCCTTGCAGTCGGACGTGCGACGTCTTCGTGCCGATAGGGAGAAGGAACGATCGGAATTCGCGTTCGCTCAGCTTGAGAGTGAACGCGAGAGGCGTCGTTTGCGCGACGAGCTAGAGACGGCTCTTCGCGAGGCCGCGTCGACGAAGTACCAACTCCTTTCGACGAAGTACCAACTTCAGTGTTTGGTCCATGATCACAAGAATATGTTGGGGATTATTGAGCGCGCCGGTTATCTCCGTTCTCGCAAGAGGCCTCGTACTGATGGTACGGGCAGAGACGACCAACATAAAACGTAGGATGCGTGCGCGTCCTACGAGGCAACTCGATCGTGTATGCATTGCCCTTGCGGTGCAACACACGAAATGGACCAATGTATTTCGGCAGTAGTTTACTACTGCCGACACTAGTGACTGCATGTCCAGGTAAGTTTACCGTAGACAGTAGTACTAGGTCGTTAACCTTAAATGAAAGAACATTTGCTCTTCCATTCTTGTCTGCGTTTCGTTTCTGGCGGTCCACCGCATTTGCGATGGAGTCCTGTACAAAGCGGATTACCGCTTCTCGAGTCAGCAGGAAGTTCTCTGCTGACTCGTTGTTGTGTTTTCAGTGCGCTTCGTGCGCACTGCTAAGAGATTGTTCTCTTCTTCAACGAGGGTGTCTTCTTCCTCGCTGGCATTGTCGTTGACGATGCTGAATATCCCAGCATCGTCATCATTGTCTGATGTAGCAGCAGCGTCATCGCTACTGCTAAGATCGATTTCCTCGATCTCGACGTTGTCGACATCGGCATCAAACGTATCGGCGTGAGCGGTGATACGTGATGAGCAAGAGCCAAGACGGTTTTTGCTCGAGCGAGCCCCTCCTCCCCTAAACCTAGAGTCACTCTGTATGAGGGCGGGAATACGTGGGTGGCGTAAGCCATTCACGTAGAACGGTGTATGCGTTTTGGACGCATGCACAGAGTTGTTGATGGCAAATTCAACCATCGGCAAGAACTCACTCCAATGTGAAAAGGAGTGGACGTATCCACGAAGAATTTCTTCGAGGACACGGTTTGCACGTTCCGTCTGACCATCTATTTCGATATGATCAGAGGTTGACATCTTCAACCGTGTTCCCAATGTGCGGAACACGGATTGCCAAAACGCCGCCGTGAACCGAGGGTCACGGTCGGATACGAGTTCACGGGGTAAACCGTGGAGTCGAAACACA